AAAGATCTCCTCAGGGGTCGGCAGCTGGTAGTGATCCGTCACGCTGATTTTGTTCAGCGCGCGGTAGTCACCGCAGGGACGCTTCGCGGTCCAATTCCCGAATTCGTCTTTCTTCGGGGGCATTGTCACGGGGGACGCCCACTGGGACATCGACGGTCGGATGAATCCGGCCGCAAGTCGCTCCTCGACCTGCTCCTTCAGGATTTCTTTCTCCGCTTCGGCAAGCCGATACTGGCGCCGGAAAATTGGAGTGTCATCTGTGACCGGAATTCGGAACGTCTCGTTCCTAATCTGGCCCATGCCGTTCATGTCGAACGCAAAAATATCAATGTGCTCGTCCAGCAGCTCTCTCAGCTGAGTCTTCTGGTCTTCGGTAAGATGATCACCGAGGGGCCAGGTGAACGGCTCTTTCTGACCGGTAGCTGATCCGGTCGTCCCGCCTTCTGGCGGTCCTGGGCCTTCTGGCGGACCCGCGGTCGTCTCTGCTGGGGTCTGTTGCGCTGGTCCTCCCCCCCCAAACGTGTGCATGGCGGCCCGACAGCACTCGGCATGGTGAGGAACCTCTCTCAATTGGCGGTACTGCAGTAACTTTGCCCTCGACAGGGCGGCCACATGGGTAAGCGGTACAAGCTCAGGACCGTGATAGTGATCGGCTACGCACGCAGCCGAGTGGCGGCCGTGCGGTTCGCTAACCGTCGGCCGTGCGCGCCGTCAATCGGCAAAGAAGGCCTGCTGGAAAACCTGGATGCAGCCGACCAAGAAGGTCAGGGCGTGCATGTCCATGGTGCTGCCCAGCAGGCGGCGGCGATCGGCTTCCTTGATCCGATCAGTGGGCGCCGCCGTGGTGTTCTCCATAAAACCCATGGCGCGCTCGCGCTCCAGGGCGGTCGGCTCTTGCTCGCGATTCGCGCGATCGAGTACCATGCTTTGCTGCCCCACTCGATAGGCGTGCGAGTTGGCCAGGGAGACGAAGGTGGCAAAAGCCTTGATGGTCTGCCCTGGGATGTTCACCGTCACTGAGCCAGAAGCCTGCGCGTGTCGAGCCACTTTGGCGGTGTGCCCAAGCTCGAGAATGTCCTGCACGCGCTGTCCGGGGGGCCGACGCTTGAACTTCTTGTCGGCCATCTCCTCAACCAGGTGTCCAGGAACCAGGTTGGTCCACCAGCGCCGGTTGCGGTGGGCGTAGGAGCCCACAGCGACCGCGTCAAAAACGAAGCCCTTGCCGAGGACGGCCTGAACGACCTCGGTGTATTCGCGCCGAACGTCCCGGTTCGGATGGTCGGCGGCGTCTACGTTTTCGAAAAGGTACCCACACGGGCCGTGGATGCGCCATATCAGGTGGATCACACGCAGCGCCTCTTCGAAAAGCTGCGTGCGGGGGTCTCTGAGCCCCTTGGGCGCATCAGATGCGCGCGAAAACCCCTGGCAGGGGAAGCCGACGATCACCAGGTCGGGCTTCTGCATGTTCTCAATGTGCTGGCGCGTAATCGTCCTGACATCCTGTGGCAGGAAGGCGTGGCAATCGGCAAACGCTTCGGCGCTCAGCTGCTCAGGCCGAGTCGCAGACAGCACTCTTAGGCGCTCTTCTGCGACGGCGCGTGTCTTAGCCTCGTTCTCGCAGGCATAGACGTGCTGGATTTTAACTCCGGTGCGCACAAGTGCCTCAGTGCTGGCCATGATACCGGAGAAGAGCTCCAGAACAACTAGGCCCGGGCCGTTCTTGGCCAGGGGCCCGCGCAGGTCCAACATGCTCGTGTCCAGAGGGCGCAGATGCTGGTACGCCTCCACGGTGACAGGCCGCTGGTTTGGCGGCGGGTCGGCCAGCCGTTCCTTGCTGCGCTCGTATAGGTCGGTCATCTCGGGCATCATGTGCTTCTCATAATGCCACATCCGAAAGCGCGCGTTCTCGATTTCGAACGGCTTATCCAGGTTGGGTGACGGAATCTGAAGCAGCTTGTTGTACGGAATCGGAGCACCAGGCGCAAGCTCGGGAGTGTTGTTTGCGCCTGTGCTCGTACTGGCAGCACTATAGGCAAGAGGGGTGCACGCACAGCTGGCTCCGGATGCGCCGGGCCGATCGTAGTTGACCGGCAGGAAGCAGGGGAGGTGCGCCTCGCGCGCATGTGGCTCCCACCAGTTGACGTAGTACGTCACGACCTGCTTGTAGTAGTCAGGCCGAATACCAGGAGGGCCCATGACGCTCATCCCGATCAGGGTGTCGGGCAAGTCGCCACGGACAATGATGATCTTGGCCCACACAGTGGTTTCGTGGGGCGTGCCGGGGTTCAAAACAAAGTCGACCGGCTCGATGGTCTCGTCCATATGAACCGTCTCACCGCTAGCAACGCGGATCTCGATGGCGTTCTTGCGGACTTTGTCCGCAGTCAGCTTCAGTTTGGCCGCAGTGCGCGGGCCAACCAGAACGACGTCGGCACCGCAATCAAGGACCAGGTTGTGCAGAACCTGCCCATTGATAAGCATCGCAGGGCGCGGGCCGGTATTGTCGATGCGCGGGGACCGGTAGGTGCCCTGCGATCGATCACTGTAATACGAACCCGGCAGGCTGCTCAGCAGAGCAGCGAGTCTAGGATTAGCCGGATTATAGATGTCGTTGTCTGCCGGCGCCTTTGTCGTGGCGCCAGCTGAAGTC